CCCCTGGAAGTATTTAAAAGACGTGTAGATGTGGAACCTGGGGACATGGTTAGTGGTGGACTTGGCAGTGCTTGGTTAATGGTTTGGCTCGATGATTTTAAAGGTCTTTTTCAAAAATGATTCTACAACTTAAATGATTCTATGGTTCTATGATTCTCTGCCAAAAATGACTTAGAGTTTTGTCCACAGGTATATCAAATTATTTTTTTTTTCCTAAAACTATCACTAACTCTTATTGTCCACTGAATAAAAGGACAGTAATGAACCAAATTAATTTTTGTATTTGTTGTTTAACAGTATGTGAAGTAGCCTCAGGGAAACACAATTTAATAAGCAACTTATGTTCTTTGTGTATTCTGATTCTTTATGAGAAGACTTTTCTTCTGTTGGTGGCCTGGTCCTGCTGTGAAATTTGTGACTATTTGTTTTATTGTTGATAATAAACTAACAGAGGCTGTTTCATGAAGAAAATGTGGAAAAATGTGTTTATTTCCTCCCACGCCTGTTCATCCCACCAAAAGAAAACACTGCACAAGCAGATTCTGGTGGAAGGGGATATTTCTTTATATTCAAATATCCCTTTGAAGTATTGCAGAGAAATGCCAGTGTTAGAATTACTTGGTTTCAATATCAATCAATAATTTACAACTATATTAAGGAGTTAAATGGGGACATAATGAGACCCTTTATACCTATAAAGCAGCAATATTTTCCAAAATCATAGAAATCTACAGAGAAAAAGGTAGTTGAGAAAAGGCATATATCAAGAAATTTATATAATGAAATGGAAGAAATCATTAGCAGGCACTGAAAAGCAGGAGGCTCTCAAGGCAGAGCATAATTTTCTATAAACTAGAAACTGGAAGCTGGGGCAAAAACATTGCTAACGTGACTCCATAGAAAGATGGCTTGCTAGCCATGTTTGAATTCAGTTTGCTATGTGGTTGTTGCTCATTCTAGGTATTGTAAATATGAATTTCAGATTTACAGATTAGCATCAAGCCATTAAAAGTTGTTGGTATACACGTTTCTGCCTCAGTATGCCTGAGAAATCTAAACTAATTCCTACATACCTTGTTTCCTTCTGGTTTTGTGTCTTGTAAAGAGCTTGCAGTTTATCCAGGTGCTAGTTACTTGATCAGTCCTAACTATGTTACTTTAGTTTGTGCTTGTGCCCTTCATTTTTTTAAGCAACAGCCAGCACTCTTAATCCCCTCGTTTCATTAAGGTAAGACCATGGGAGACAGACTTGTTTGAATCTCAGCTGAATATTAACAAAATATTACTGAAATTAAAACGCATATCTTTCCACTGCTTTTGCTATTTGCATGCCATAAACAACTCTAGACACACTACAACTTTGCTGTTACTGTTTTTTATTTATATATTGTTTCCCTATCTCAGTAGAGCAGCTATAGCATGTTACAAATATATATTGAATGACTTATTCTGGAGATTGTGTCAGCTGCTTTATATTAAGGGAAGAAAAAAATCTGAAATTCACTGGGTTCATTTATAATTTTCTTTCTTCCATCAGGTTTTGCTTTCCTTACTCATTACCTCTGGAACGTTTGCATAATGCCTTAATTTGCCAAGATAGTTTTCTCTAGCCTGCATTTTCTATCACTTCATCTAATATAAAGAAATTTTGTTGGTAAAAACTTGCAGCCCTCTGTTTTTATTCTTTATGCTGCTAATTCTTTATATATAAACTTTTTTTTTTTTTTTTAATTTAAGAATTTCAGTACGGAATTCCTCATTTGCTTTAAGGAAGAAATAGCTTCAAGGAACAACTTATCTGATTACTGGTTATTCATTCTCATTTCAGCTGAGTGTTTTGAATACAACTATTGCATTGCTTTCTAGTTAACAGGTCCAAAAGTTATCCAATTTAAGAGGCTGAAGACGTTCTGAACAGCAACAGTGAGGGGATGATATAGAAGTGCAGGCCTTCAAAATGAAGAGTTACATGTCAGGAGTTAGGTTGAACCAAAGAACTGTTTTGAACCTTAATTCTTTTTGAATCGATACCGAAAAAGAAAAATATGTTTCTGGCTATTGATTCAGAGTAACAGTGGGGGAAAAAAAGCCTAATCCAGAGAGGCTATTGGAAGACTTTCCATTAAATAGGATGGATAATGAATCCAGTACTAGGACAAATAATCCTAAAGTCATCAGAACAATTACGTATGGAAAGGAGAAAAATATTTGTTCATTAATGGTGAAATCATAAGAAATTCTACAAAGTTTGTAGAATTTTCACAAAAATCCACAATAATGTCAAAATAATTTAGAAACACAAATGTTTCTGAGAGTCTATTTTTAAAATTTTGATTTTTTCTTTGTCTATTTTCTCTATTTGTGTAAATATCGCAATAGTTTTATTAAATAGATGGAAAAAAGTTCCCCTTTAGGGACTCATGCAGCACGTCTTGTTTTGATAACATGTATTTCTTTCTACAGTAGCATTAATTTTCTCCTAATTCTTTCTTGTAGTGTTAGTGACTGTGTTACCTGCATTTCTTTTGTACATAGTTACATTCTTTTTGATGTTTGCTCTTTAGGTAATGATTCTGACGTTGACCTTGACAGGAAGGAAGATGAGCGAGAAAAAACTCCAAAGAGGCCCAGAGTTCAGAAAAAACAGAAAATTCCATCAACTAAGGAGACTGAACAGGTTTCAGGAGCTAAAAATCCTATTATAAGTGTGGTTTTGACAGCCCATGAAGCTATTCCAGGTAATCAGAATCACCGATTATATAATAAATTTGGTTTTGTCCATGCTGATGCTGTATAAAATAATCATTGGTCTAAGACTGAACTGCTTAGGATATTTGTTATCTGAAAAATATTTAGTATTATTTGGTTATCTTGATACAGAATCTCTGCATCTGGCAGCTACATCATTTTAGAACTACCGTCACATTTGTTCCTGGGTATGACAAAAGCTGGACCTGGGTGTAGTTATCTGCATTAACATCAGTTATGTTTAGTCTGTGAATAGTTTTAAAGAAGAAGCTGAAAAAATCAGTGATCAAACAACAGGAAGGTGTTTTTCCCCTGGAATATTTTTATTTCAGCTCTTGATTTATGTGGATATTTATGATTAATGTAAATTTGGTTATGAAAAAACAAACAGCTTAGTATATATACAACCTCATGTTTATGCATACAAGTAGTTTGACAGAAAATACATATATATATTTGTAAATCAAGTAAAGTTTCTGTATAATGATTAAAGGATTCTTCATCCATAAATTTTTATAGTGCCTTTTCATCGAAGGATTTTGGAATAATTTCAAACTATTTATTTTAAAACTAGACTTGCATTTGCCTGTTTATATAAACCAGTCATTCACCTGACTGACAGAATCCCTTTTTATAGTTTTGTGCATTATTTTCAGCTTTGCAGCTTTATTGTTCCCCTTTTCATTATTGGTAACGTTTCTGAATATTTGTTTTGCTTATAGTTCTCAGAACAACTAGAATGTATTTGTTTATTTTATTGTTGTGGGTTGGAAGCTAGCTGGATTTTCTGTGTTGTTCTTTAATATCTTTTGATATTGAGATCTGTGATATGCTTGGACTTTGTGATATTGAGATCTGTGATATGCTTGGACTATGCATTTGCTAAAATGCATTTCTAATTGTGATGGTGGAGGAAGCTGGATGAGCTCACCTACGAATATCCTGTGTGCTTAGAAGGGAAGTAAAAAACACCTTCAAATTCATTGTTTGAGGAGCATCACACAGGGTTTTGGACTTACACTGAACTGTTAAAAATTTGGTCTTGCAATATTGGAAATACGGGGGAAGGTTCAAGAGGACTGGTGAGCACTGGAAGTGTGGAAACCTGACTTCAGGGTGGTTTGAGGTCTGCGCCGCTTTGTTTCACTAACTGCAGGCGCCATTTTCTCATGTGATACAACCCTGGGCTCTTTCCTAGCTGTTACTAAACACTCATTTTCCCACTGTGTCTCCCACCTCTTTTGCCTGTTTCCCACTGCATGTACCTTCTCTCCCACCCTGGTGCTCATTCCCCTCACTGCCACACGTGAGGCTCCCCTCATGTCCTCTGTTCCTTTGACTGGGCAAAGGAGAACATGCGATGGCTGGTTAAGGGGCTCCTATAGGTGTTAGTAAATGGGTTCATATAGATCTTAGTTTATGGATTTATACATGCACCCTCCCTTCCTCAGGGCTTTTGGGAAGAGCTGTAATTGGGGTCTCCTCTCTCTCCAGGTGCTAAATTTTATGAACCTTGTAAGAATGTTTGTCTTTCAGATCTTTACATTTCTGGCAAGCACTAGAAGAATTTTCAAGAGGGGAAGGAAAGACATGCTAGACAGTGCAATCAAAGACGCATTTTCTTAAGAAACTAGCCTGAAGAGGCGAATGAAATAATAGTAAATACAGATAGTGAAGAAAATGTAGTAAGCATGTGATGCGGGAGAGGAAATGAAAATCTAGAGGAGACTGGTGCCTTAATTACTACCTAGTAACACTTTTCTTCAGACAACAAAAAAGTTTGGGTTTTCTTTACACATACGCTTTTTGAGTGACTCAAAATATTAAAACAGCTTCAACTTTGGAGCTGTTTGTGCATAATACATGTTACATTCAAAAGGCTTTAATGAACCAAAGAGATTTACAGTCAAATGTGAACCTGCAGCTATTTTTGAAGGTCCTCTCATTTATTTGGTTGACAATTAGTAATCTTATTACGTTGAAGTTCCCAGCTAGACTATGTGTAATAAAAAAGTCATTGTTGTTAAGACAGTTATGAATTATCATCCTACTTTTCAGAATTTGGAAATTCTAGAAGATATTATGTAAGTGGTTAACTCTTTGAAGATTCAAAAGAAAAATATTTCATTTAATACCATTATGTTTTAATTTATTTTTCATTGCTTTTCCTTCTATTTTTTTCATTAATTTCCATGATCTAACTATATTTTAATGTCACTAGCAATTCTTAGGCTGTTCCACTTCCTCAGTAATACTTTAATGTCTGGAGTTTTTATAAAGATCTTTCATAGTCTTTTATTCCATTTTTCTGGAGATTTATCCTGTGCTAAAGAAGTGAGTTAGTGCTATAGACTGCTGTTGAAGAATACAAATAGATAAAACATTTCTCCCTTCTTCCCTGCTTTCTGTGTGCTAGATCATCTGTAAAGTGAAGTTGAAAATAAAATTTAAAAGTGCTTAAGCACTATCAAAACTTAGTCAGAAAGAGGAAATATTCAGAGTGTATGTCTCCCTTCTTAAATGAAAGATGCTTTTAGGAGTATTATATTAACAGTTTGCTATAATTTTGCTACACGCTATTTAGGTTTGAGACACTGCTTTACATCATGTGTTCAGTAGATTATGACTAAATTGATCTCTTCAAAATCCCTTTGAACAAACAGTTTAGTTTTTAACTTCCCAGAAAGGGCAGTCGGACAACATTGATTTTTCCCCATGTTCCTTTTCTGTAATGTTTACTTGGGAGGCATATGAAAGGTAATAGATTTACAGCTTTAGAAATTTGAAAGCTTGCATTAACCCACAGAGTAAATACACTTTGAATAAAAGTGGTAGATTTTTTTTCTGTGCAGGTGTTGAAGTACCTTAACAGGCTAGAGAGGTGGGCCTGCACGAACCTTGTGAAGTTCAAGAAGGCCAAGTGCAAGGTCTTGCATCTGGGTTGGGGCAATCCCAAACATGGATACAGGCTGGGAGATGAGTGGATTGAGAGCAGCCCTGCCAGGAAGGACTTGGGGGCATTGGTGGATGAAAAGCTGGACATGAGCCAGCAATGTGCGCTCGCAGCCCAGAAGGCCAATCGTGTCCTGGGCTGCATCAAAAGAAGCGTGGCCAGCAGGTCGAGGGAGGGGATTCTGCCCCTCTACTCTGCTCTGGTGAGACCCCACCTGGAGTACTGCGTCCAGCTCTGGAGCCCTCAGCACAGGAGAGACATGGACCTGTTGGAGGGGGTCCAGAGGAGGGCCACGAAAATGATCAGGGGGCTGGAATACCTCTGCTATGAAGAAAGGCTGAGAGAGTTGGGGTTGTTCAGCCTGGAGAAGAGAAGGCTTTGGGGAGACCTTATTGCAGCCTGTCAGTACTTAAAAGGGGCCTACAGGAAAGATGGGGAAGGACTCTTTTATTAGGGAGTATATTGATAGGACGGGGGGTAACGGTTTTAAACTGAAAGTGGGTAGATTTAGATTAGCTATTAATAAGAAGTTCTTTACTATGAGGGTGGTGAGACAGTGGAACAGGTTGCCCAGAGAAGTTGTGGATGCCCCCTCCCTGGCAGTGTTCAAGGCCAGGTCAGATGGGGCTTTGAGCCACCTGATTTAGTGGAAGGTGTCCCTGCCCATGGCAGGGAGGTTGGATGATTCTGAAGGTCCCTTCCAACCCAAACCATTCTGTGATTTTACAACTGGAGGGACCCAAAGACCTTGAAGAGAGGGAGTGCTGTGTTCATGAACACGCGCATCTTGTATCAGATTAAACAGAGTACAGTTTTTTGTAAGTATCGCAATTAAGAATGAGAATGAATAACTACAATTACATGCATATCTAAAAATACTTTGTTGTGAATGGCAGATGCTTTTGTTCATACTCTATTTTTAAGAACCAGTGAGTAAACTCTGCCAAATATTCAATCTTCTGGTTTTTTATGTATTTTATTTCCCATGTTTAAATTCTGTAATATTATCAAAGCTTCTAAAACCAATGTATTATTCATGCTTAATTAGTTTGATTCAGGAGAGATTCTACTTTGAACATTTAAATTGTTGTTTTATGTGAGTCCTGTAATATTTTAAAGACTCAGCTTGTTACTAGGAGAGTTGTTTTAAGTTCCTGTAAAGATGGTCAATGGTAGAATTTTTGGGGTTTTTTGGTAGAGTTCAAGATATGCAAAAATAGCATTAAGTATTTAAATTCTTGATGCTAATTATTTTGTGATTCCTAAAGGAGTTGGATTTTTTTCTCCTACAAATTCTTAATACAACGCTGTGCAGGTTTTTCTCTCCCCAATTTCCACTAAGGAACCACTTTCCATAAAAGGCCAGCTGTGTTCTGCTGCTGTACGCTGTGCTGTAATTTATGAACACTTGGTTCCTTCTCCCGTCGAGATTTTGGGAAGTGGGGAAGAAGTGGAAGAATGTCTGTTTTGCTTACTGTTTTGGGACTGACTTAGTTTAACTGATAACAGTCTTTTCTGTTGAAGATGACTTTTTTTTTGTAGCTCACGGAACGATGGTTGTGGGTTTATGACACATCTGAATGGATTTAATATCAGACTGTTGCCAAGGGAGCTTTCCTACTTGTCTTTTATTTCCCACTTTACTTTCCCTTTCTTGCACCGGCACTAGTGCTTGCGTCAGCCTGCGGTAAACTGATTCAAATAACTGGCAAAATAAATACATATACATGTGCACATGCACATACACATATTCATTTTCTCTATCAGAGAAATTTTTTTCTACCCGTTTTGCTTACTGAACTGTCTCACATTGGGGCTGCACAGTTTTGGAAAGTGGGAAAGTGGTGACAAAATGAGTCTCTCAGGGAAAAGGAGGAGGATTCAGACTACCCCTTTTCAAAGTAGTTGAGTGGCTTAAGTCATTAAGCCCAGTACATATAGACTGCTGTCCCAGGGGCAGTGCTGTCCTCCCACCCCACCCCCTGGCCACAGATTCCTGTCCTTTGGAGCATTGTACATGTTCATGCAGTTTTGTGG